ATAAAAAAAAGAGGAATATATATATGTCAAATCAGGCTTTTTAGGGCTGTGTGACAACAGGCACCTGAGCTCAGGACCCCCTTTAGGATCTGAGTCATGGCTGTAATCCCAGTTGGAGACACACAACAAATCTGGCAATTTTGGTTTTTCCTGCCCCCCCCCCATTTTAAAGTTCATTTCTGTTATGTACTGAAGTTCTCTCCCTGGGCCAGCAGGGGGATACTGTAGATAGTTTTCACTCAGGTCCACATATGCAAATAAGGGATTGAAAGTGACGTTCAGTGATTGGCTAGTTACAGAAAGTTGCTACTGTTGCTTTGTAGTGGAGCTCTATATAAGCAGGCTGGCTGAACCCTTCAGTTCAGCTCTGTTCTGGCCTGTGAATAAATAAGAGCTGTTTTGAAGCATCGCTGTGTCGTCTGATATGTTCACCCACAACTTAACAATTTCACCCCCTTTCCACATCAGTTTGTGATTTCCACTACCCCCCACAGAAATAAATCCTCACAAAAATGCACCAGTATTTTAACAGACACGTGTGATGCAATGTTCATCTACGGGCTTCCCATAGGAATCTGGTTGGCCACAGTGAAAGCTAGACTAGATTTTTGCCTGATGCACCAGGGCCCTTTTCAGGTACTTATGCCCCAAACTGTTTTGTTGTTGATAAGATGTTGTTAGCCGTTTTCTGATGGGCATTTTGCCTAGAATGGAGGGTTAGAACTCTTATAAATTAAGGAAAATAAAACAAATTTAGTTGGATTGCATTACTCAGTGATAGCTGTGCTCTTTTTAATCGTTTTGCCTACATTTCATGGGATTTTGGGCAGTTAAATCCTCAGAGCCCTCAGCACATGCATTAATTTTTTTTTTTTTAAACCCACAGTTAACAATCGGCAAATATCTAGCACAGCTGCATTATTGCCTATAAATGGCGACGTAAAGAAACTAATATTCTGGGTAAATGAGATGACTGCACCCATGTAGTTCTCCCTCTGACAGTGAATTTAACTTGTCTCCAGTAATGAGAAAAGTATCTAAATGGCTCAAAGGCATACTTGAAATTTATGCAGTTTGGCACACTTGCAAAATTCTGAAATATCCAAAATAGCAGGCAAACAGCAGAGACGAGGGCTGAAAAATACATGGCAATCTGGCAGATACATCTCAGTCACCTGGACGTTATTTTTAAGGGGAAGCTTCAAAAAAGTTTTCAACTTTAATCTGTGCCAAAGTTCATTTCATAATATACTCAGCAACAGCAGGCTGAAGTTCAAATGGTGTTAATCTGGGATGCCTTTTTGGCAGGGCCTGCTCAATATATTTTGTGGCCTGAGGTGAACGACAAGATGGCGCCCTTTTCCAAAGCACACACAGAGGCCAATTGCGCTGGTAGTTGAATCTTACTTCAGTACTGATGAAGGAACAGTGTCTTTCTCTGCACTTGAGGGCAGCAGGCTAGCATAGGGGGTATAGGGCAGGCTACATAGCACCCACAGCTCTGTCCACTCCCCAGAACTCTGCCGCCTGAGGCAGCTGCCTTATTCTGCCTCACGTAGGCCAGCCCTGTCTTTTGGATCAGGTTGAACATGTTCTGTGAAGTCCAGAGCCATCTTTAGCATACTCGGCATTGCCGGGGTGCAAAAAACTGCCCAGCACCCCCAAATATTTTTAGGGGGGCAGCTCAGAGTTGTTAAGCTATTTTTATACTCATTTAAACATCCTTAAAATATTAGTGACTTCTCTTCTTCTCTCCATGGTTCGTTTTGCATATTATAAATCCTTGCATATTTTACAAAAACTGAACCATTCAGTATTCCATTACTACAGCCATAAAAACTTATTTACACTGTTGAATTTATCTTAATGCTGTCAACATTTTTAAGTGTACACAATTTCCCCCCATATATTCAATAAACGTTTTCCAATCTTATCTAAACACATGTTCTTCTTGTTCTCTTATTCTATAGGTTAAGTCTGCAAGCTGCGCATATTCTGTCAACTTAAGTTGCCATTTTTCTTTAGTTGGGACCTTTCTTGTTTTCCATTTTGGGGCTAACAAAACACGGGCCGCGGTAGTGGCATGCATAAATAACCTTTATTTGACAGTCCTGCTTCTGCGTGTCATGTTCCTCCAGGGGTTTGTCTCCTGCAATGGCTGGTCTCCCCCCACTTGCATCGCTGTTCCAGGACAGACCACTCTGCTTTGCTGAGAAAGCCCTCCTCTCGCCCAGTAGCTCAAAGTGTAGATTGGTGGGCCTCAAGTTGCTGTACCTTCTTCTCCAGCAAGGCAACCAGCTTGCACTTGCTGTGGGTGTAGTTTTGCGCATTTTCAGGCAGGAAGACAAACATGGCACAGATGTTGCAGGTTGCTGCAGCTATTACCTCACCGTCCACGTCCATGCCATGAGACAGCACACTATCCCTTAAAACATCTTAGAAAACTCCCCTATTTAAAAGTCATTGTCATGAGCTCCCAGACGCTGCAATCAGCTAAACAGAACAGCTGCTAGCTCCTCCCCCAATGGGTTTACTCTGAGTAGGAGTAACACTGGATCCAACCCATTGTCTCTATTGTACCAATTTCAACTCTCCATCCGTCTTCCGTCTGAAACAGCAGAGGGATTCTCACGGAACTGATAAGAACAATTTCACCCAAGTATAGTATATGTGGCTCAATTTAATTCTGGTCATACTTCCTCTTGTTAATGAAAGTCAGGAAAAGTGGGGTTATTTGTACAGTGGCAAGATTGCCTTACACTTGCAATCAGCAGTGGATTTTCCAATAAACAAGTAATAGCCTTTATTTCCGTTTTCTGTCGGCTTTGCTCTTGGTGTTTATGCCATTCTTTGGATACACTTTGCTTTTTATGATGGGTTCCATTATGACCTCTAAATAGCGATTGTTAGAGGTAAACGGTTTAAAATGTTCCGGGGTGGAATCCAACAGACATCTATTTCTCACTTCCCTCTTCGATGTTATCATTGAATTAGAAACTGTGGGGAAAAACCCAGGAGTGACCTGTTTCTGCTCTTCTGGCAAAGGCTTCCTGCGTAATTTAGAATTCTGATCTTCCAGAAGGTTTAAATTATGCAAGGAAAACCAGCTTGAGTCGCGCAGGCTCTCCAATGAATTCAATCTTAAACTACGGCCATAGCTCAGTGGTGGATCATCCAGCTTGCATGTAGAAAGTTCCAGGTTCAATCTCCAGGACTGAAACCCTGGATGCATGCTGCCAATCAGTGTAGACAATACTGAACAAGATGGACTAACAGTCTGACTCATACAATCATAGAATCATAGAGTTGGAAGGATCGTCTAGTTCAACCCCCTGCAATGCAGGTATATCAGCTAAGCCAACCAGGACAGATGGCCACCCAACCTCTGCTTAAAAACCTCCAAGGAAGGTGTCAGATGGCAATGGTGGTTGCTTGCGAGTAACCAGGCAGGACTTCGACCTGTCTTTTACAGGTTTTATATTGGTGCAAAACTATTTACAGTGCAGAACCACAGGTTCATGTCTGCCTCAATCGCTAGCAGAATCCGGGAGTGGTCCCTTCCGGGTCCTCCCCCAACATAAGAATTTAGTCACCCCCAGCCATTTCCTTCCTTCTTTGCGTTTTACACCTCTGCGCAAGGTGGGTGACGGAAGAGGTGTGTTTCCCTCCTGGCTGGCTTGGCAAGGAGCGGTGCTGAGGCTCCCAGTAGCATCCTCTAGCCCTTTCCCCTCCTTTACCTGGAGGTGTGGCTTTTCCCACCCTCAGACTGATGAGGTGCGGTGCTGGGGCTCCCAGCAGCATCCCCACTTGAGGTGTGGCTTTCCCCACTGCAGGAAGAGGAACTGCTTTGCAAGATTTTTGGAGGTTCCCTGTATCCCAACAGCCCATCTACCTCCCTTCCCTGTTCCGATGGCAGTCCCCTGACAGAAGGAGAGTCCACAACCTCCCGAGGGAGACCGTTCCACTCAGTATAAGGCAGCTTCCTATGTTTCCTAGTATGCAGCATTCATCCTAAGGTTAATATGGATTTATTCCACCCGGCTTTTGGGTCCTTATAATGCTAGATACTGAGCCATTTGCCGCTGCATTGTGATCATGTAATGCACCATGCATATGTTCTTTTAAAATAGCATTGGTAAAATTGCATGTTATGCTTTCCTTTGTAATGCAAACCACTCTTGCGTTGCATTTCTAAATGAAAAGCGATCCATAAATGTAACGAAATGAGTAAATAAATAATGACAATCTGAATGAATTTTAAAAAGTTAGAGAGGCAGGACATTCCTTTGCCAAAGCCATCCTTGTGGACCAACTGCTCGGTGTCATGGCATTGCAATGATGTTTTTGCCCGTGCGGTTTGAAATTAAACTATGCCTGTGCAAGTAGTATGTGCGTGGCTCTCAGAAGGCTGACCATCAGGGCTTCAAAGCATCACTCAGGGCTTGAGGCAAACACCGACTATAAGCTGTGCACCACAGCTTTGCTGGGCACTTTGAAGGCCCAACCACCAATGGGTGGATGGGACTTCAAATCACCGACACATGGTTCTGTGCAGACCCCTTTTGGGCCCAGTCACATCTTTACCTGCCCACATCTGACAACATATATGACTTTGGGTATAAGGCAGCTGGGCATGGCTTGAATGAAACGGCATTGAGGGTCAAATTAGGCCCTTAGGCTGGAGGTTCCTCCCTTGCTGTTCTATTTTTCTTTTTGCACTTGAATGATGCTTTCTATCCATTTATCAGGAAAAGAAATTAGATGTTAAAATCATAGAATTGTATAGTTGGAAGGGATCCTGAGGGTCATCTAGTCAACCCCCCTGGCAATGCAGGAATCTTGACTAAATCATAAATGACAGATGGCCACCAAACCTCTGCTCAAAAACCTCCAAGGAAGGAGAGCTCACCACCTCCCGAGGGAGTCCGTTCCACTGTCAAACAGCTATTACTGTCAGAAAGTTTTTTCTGATGTCTAGTTTTGTTAAGCTAGCTACTGTTATTTTGATAGCTCAGTCAGTAGAGGCATGAGATTCTTAATCTCAGGGTTGTGAGTTTGAGCCTCATGTTGGGCAAAAGATTCCTGAATCGCAGGGGTTTGGACTACATGACCCTCATGGTTCCTTCTGACTCTACAATTCTGTGATAAGTATGTGATCCACTGTGTCACATTGGTTCAACCGATTGACAGCTCACTGATCTGCATCTAGCTATTGAAATATCTAGAAAACACCGTCCCAAATGCTATGGAGAGGCTATTACCAAGTACTTTCCCATCTTTTATAGAACCAAGAGGCATTCTCAACATGAGAAATAGTGCATTTTTTTTTTAAAAAAAGTAGATTTCTGCTTTGAAGGATTTCATACACTTTGCATCCCTTGCCCTTTTGACTCAGAACTGCTTTGCAGTGTGTCCTACACACTCTGTTTTGTGCACATTGCTGAAGAAAACGATTGCATAATGAAATACTTGGGAGATCTGAGACATTATTCACATTATACAGATAAAAAGCACTCTGTTTATGAATCTGGAAACACTGACCTGTGTTGAATGAATATGCAATTGGGATTTTGTCAGGATTTTGCCTCAAAGTTGGGACAAATGCTTTCATGTCTCCTGATTTCCCCCAGCCAAAACAAAATCTGAAATGAAAAATTAGCATCTGAGACAGGTGGGTGGTTATGCTTTGTCTATCATGCTCAGCCAGTGGAGAAACCTTAGTGACCCAAATTGAAAACTCACTTTCTAAAAGGGGAGGGGGGAAGAGGAAGCATGGGATGTTTCTTGAGGACTTTCACTAATGGCTAGATTGCTTTGAAATGATGAGGAAACGTTTGGGAACCCTTGATGGATGTTTTGCATTGCATGTGGGAGCCAGAGGAACATGGTGCTCCTGTTTGAACCCACCATACGGCCCTCAGCAAACATCTGCTACTGCATAAGCATACTGCATAAGATGCTACTGCATAAGGTTGAGAACCATCATCTTACTCCCTGCACCACCAGCCAGCCTAAGTTATTATTTAATCTTGCCGTTTTGTACATATAAAGATTTTGTAAAGCCCTTTGAATGCTTAAATGGAAAAGCAGGATACCATTATTTTTTTAAAAAAAGTTACAGTGGTACCTCTGGTTAAGAACTTCATTCGTTCCGGAGGTCCATTCTTAACCTGAAACTATTTTTAACCTGAGGTACCACTTTAGCTAATGGGGCCTCCTGCTGCCACCGCCGCGTGATTTCTGTTCTTATCCTGAGGTAAAGTTCTTAACCCGAGGTACTATTTCTGGGTTAGTGGAGTCTGTAACCTGAAGCATCTGTAACCTGAAGCGTCTGTAACCTGAGGTACCACTGTACTTGAAATTGCCAAGGGACCCATTACTGCTACTTCCTAGAACTACCTTTACTGGACAGACACAGTGAGGGTTGGTTAATTCACAGCAGGTGCATCTATCTCATCCACATAGTGTACACCAGGGATCAACAGTGTGGCACCTAGGGGCCCAAATGGGCCCACAGAGGCCTTCCCCGGTTCCCACAGGCTTTCATCTCCTTGCTAAAATTGAGCTTGAACGAAGTATTCTGTTGAAGCTGAAATAATTGTTTGCAGTGTGTTCTTGGTTGTAATGCACGTCTGGTACCTGCTATAGCTCCTCTGGTTTGCAAATATTCCCACAGGACCAAAGCATTTATGCCCATTCCTTACAATTTCAACTCTGTTTTCATCCCAGATGCTCAACTCTACAATCTGCTGGGGGATTTAGCAAACGTATCTAAAATGGGACAATGTGTTAGTGAGCTGTGCTTCACCAAGTGGCGGATCACCAGTGGGTGGTCTTAATTCATTCCTCGTGGTGGACAGGAAACCATGCTGGTGAAATCATTTCCATGCTGACATATCTGTAGGTACCTATAGTCCCTCACCGAAATCCTTAGACTGTTGACAAAGTAGTAGCATCTTATCCCTCTCTCTCCCACCTCTTGCTATTATAGCGTCTTCCGCAATGAATTGATACTCCCCTATCACAGAAAGGCAGGAATTAGGGAGGAAGAAGATTTATTAGTTCACCCAGAAAAGAGAAGAGGAATCACTATTCTGTGCTTGCCAGGGTCTGTCAAAGCCAGCTTCAAGTTGTCCCTGCAAAAATATATATAAAAAATGGTTTCAGTCGATTCTCTTGGGAATAAATGCTGTGACTGAACACATCTCACTGTCAAGAGGCCTGTAGTGTTCAAATTTGCTCCTTCCATTTTCTCCCTAGTTACAATCCTGCCTCAAATATCCAAATAATTTTTCCCTCAACCTCGGTGGTGTCAACAGCCTTCAGATTGTCTATGTCAAGATGCTGTTCCTTCCTTAATCATTATTTGGCCAAGCTACACACATTTAGCTAGCTTAATCTTTCCTCATAAGTCACCGTCTCCTGCCTCTCCCTCCTGTTCTGGTTGCTCTTCTCTGCAATTCCCTCCAATTTGTCAACGGATGGTAGAAATTATGCTTCCCAGAGAAATAAATGTTTCTTAGCCACTGCAGTCTCTCGCTATGCCAGCAGGTCGAATGGGAAAATACTGTTGCAGTCCTCCTGCCTGCTGAAAGCAAACTTCGAAAAGATCACGAGTGATTGACAAAAGCAACAACAACCCCACATATATTAATTCACCCAGCATTGTAATTAAAATGCTCAGGAGACCAAAAAAGAAAAAGAAAAGAAAGAAGACAATTTGGGTGAGATATAAAGAGTTCCTAATCACTTGAATTCTCTGTTAAATGAGTGTAGTTAAAAACCTCTGCAATTATATAGACACTGCAAACTCCTATTGGCTTTAGAGACCCATTTAACTCTTGTGGTGCCCCCCAAATAATTCTGGGAATGGTAGTTTAGTAAGGTGCTGAGAATGTTACTTGGGACTTCCTAGTCCCCATCATGGAACTAAGGTTTCCAGGAATCTATTATGTAGCAAATTTACCAGCAACCTGCTTATGCGATTTCTTGTGGAACAACAAGTATATGGCCAAGTGACCCAAACTTAGTGCTTAGAATGACAGAATCCTAGATTTGTCGAATGGGGAGGAATCCAGAGGATCATCTGGTCCAACCCCCTTATAATGCAGGAATCTCGACTAAAGCATCCATGACCTCCAAGGAAGGAGAGCTCACCACCTACTGAGGTAGTCTGTTGAGCAGCTCTTACCACCAGAAAGTTCTTCCTAATGTTTAGTCAGAATCTCCTTTTTTGTAATTTGAATCAGTTAGTTTGGGTCCTACCCTATGGAGGTTTGCTTCATCTTCCATGTGACAGCCCTTCAGATATCTGAAGATGGCTTCATTCATCTATAGTGAGCAGAAGTTGCCAGTGATGATGGGTGGGTGAAAGCTCCCCAGATGTGTGCATGGTTGAGATGGACATGTCGGAACACAGACCCCGGAATGAGACAGACCTCTCTGGGCATCTTCCTGATGAAACGCAGCCCGGGACGTCCATAAATCTTCAGTCCCGGCATGCACCAGCGACACATATCAGAAAACTATGTGCATGCTCACTCAGCAGAATATTGGTGCTGAGTGAGTGTTGGTGCCCTAAACGGCCTTGGTCCAGTATACCTGAAGGAGCGTCTCCACCTCCATCGTTCTGCCCGGACACTCAGGTCCAGCGCCAAGGGCCTTCTGGCTGTTCCCTCACTGCGAGAAGCCAAGTTACAGGGAACCAGGCAGAGGGCCTTCTCGGTAGTGGCACCCGCCCTGTGGAACGCCCTCCCACCAGATGTCAAAGAGAAAAATAACTACCAAACTTTTAGAAGACATCTGAAGGCAGCCCTGTTTAGGAAAGCTTTTAATGTTTAATAGGTTATTGTATTTTAGTGTTTTGTTGGAAGCCGCCCAGAGTGGCTGGGGAAACCCAGCCAGATGGGTGAGGTATAAATAATAAATTATTATTATTATTATTATTAGTAGTAGTAGTAGTAGTAGTAGTATAGCAGAAACCATCATGGAGTGTGAGTGTGTGCTTTCTAAGTATTTATTAAGCAATATATACAGGACAAAGCAATCATGGCGACCTCTCAGTTCTTCTCCAAGAGAGAGAGAGATAAAGGGGGGGGGGGGACACAGTACAAAAGTACAGTAGACCGGAAGAGATAAGACTGGCTTCCATTCTCACAGTTTCCAAGCCTAGAAAGTAAACACAGACATGTGATGTAACAATCACACATCCAGCAACGGAGGAGTGAAATGCTAACAGGACACCCCTCACATTTTAAGGGGGGGCACTGAGACTGCTTCCTCTGGGGGTCCCCCAACACCTGGAGCCAGTGATGTGTATTTCCTTTTACCGGGAAGTAGTTGGTAAGCCACTGCTAGCCAGAATCCAAGAACCACAAACTCAGTGGTTCAAGAGTGACGAATTCAAAGCCGAGTTGGACAGTTCCATTTGCCTAGATGAGCTTGAACCACTGTTTGTTGTTCTGGAAGAGCTGACTGCCGCATGCCATACAATAAATTGCTTGGGAAATTCAGATAGTGGGGAGCAATGACCACCTCAAGTTTGGGCCAACGTGCGATAATTTCTTAAGAGCACTGGAGGAACAGCTTCTCTCCTGTGATAAACAACTGCAGTGATATTCTTTCTTGGAAAACAGATGGCACAACAAACTAGTCCATCATTGATTTAGTAATATGTCAAGCAATTCCAAGACCTTGACTCAGGCTCTGATGTTCTGCTGCATTTCCTCGATGTCTGATCGGCATTCAGCTACATTAGTCTCTCTCCTCAGATCGTCCTGTCGTAGCGTGAAACATAAATGTATTTTCTATGTTACACTTGTCCGACGCTGCCTATTATTTGATAGCTCCCATACAAAAGGGGCGAACGCTTCAAAAGTTTGTTCCAGCCACCGATTTTTAAGTGAAGAGGTTTTTTGTTTTCTGCCAAGAAATTGATTTATGTTGTCCAGTGCAGCATGAGCGAAGGGGGGGGGGGCATCACAGATGCACAGGCAGAAAGAAAAATGCAACCCTATCTTATTATTTTGATTAACTAAGCCTTAAAAAGAGAGCCTGGAGGGAGGCGTTGTCAAAAGGGT